ATAAATGTACAAACAAAGGTCACCTAAAAATACAAGCTGTCTTCATTTCACCTGTGAGTAAATGAGAGTTTTTGGGTGAACTAGCCCTTAAACCTTTTAAATGCATACAATAATTAAAGCCCATTTCTAAGACCTCTAAATTATCAACGTGATCAAAACTTTGAAAAACATGTACACAATCTACTATATGCAGTTTTTTCCCCCGTCTGAATAATAGTTTATACTTTTTAGCATGTAAAAGGTCTTATAGTATAATTGTAAAACATCCACCTTCAGGTTGAGGTTCATATATCATTTTGCTGTGAAAATGAATTTTTGAAAAAAATCATGTTAAAATGTGGGTATCAAATATGATTCATCAGGCTTTTGAGAAATTTTTTTTTTTTTTTCATCTCTTAATCATCATTGTATTGCACTGCAGGATACCAGATGTTTGTCCTGCTCACAATAAAAACGAAAGAGCTTTGATTATAAAACTAAGCACTTAAATATAATATAGAGCAGCAACTGACATTTATATAATTTTTTTGTAAGTAGTCTGTAATACTGTTATTGATTTACATTACAAGCTTTACTTTTTGGCCATATAAATTATTAGCAACTGCACCTAATTGCATGTTTCTGCTCACTTTGGGCCTTTGAATAAAATTGAACTGTTTTTTTCCTCAAGCTTGATCTCCGTATTCTTACTATATCATACTGTATGAACCATAAAGCCTGATATATCAAATATGATACTTTAAAAACAATAAAACAACAACAACAACAAAAAAAACATTAGTTTGCATATTTTGTCCAAAGGTTCAATAAGCTGTTCTATTAAAAAATAAATAAATACAATTTTGTCAGGCTTTACAGGGTTAAAAATGTTAAATTTTTCAGAAAGTAATGACATAGACATCCAAAACAGAAATAGCATTATGTGTGTGTGTGTGTTTTATAGGAGCGTGATAAGGTCATGCCTCTGGTCATCCAGGGGTTTAAGGATGCATCTGAGGAGGCGGGAACCTCCGTTACAGGAGGCCAGACTGTTATCAATCCTTGGCTAGTCCTGGGAGGCGTGGCCACAACAGTGTGCCAACCTAATGAGTTCATTATGCAAGTCATTTTATGTACTCTAGTCAGTTGTTTCCTCATAAGCAACCAATATGTCTGTCCATTCCTCTAATTTTGTGCGTGTGTTTATAGGCCAGATAATGCAGTACCAGGGGACGTGCTGGTTCTTACCAAACCTCTAGGAACACAAGTGGCGGTCGCAGTGCACCAGTGGCTGGACATTGTGAGGGTTTTAGACATTTGTAGTTTCATATTATAGTTTGGAAAGTGTTTTAACTCTTGCCATCTTTTTTTCGGTCTCAGCCAGAGAAATGGAATAAGATAAAGTTGGTCGTCACTCAGGAGGATGTTGAACTGGCTTATCAGGAGGCCATGCTGAACATGGCTCGACTCAACAGAACAGGTCAGTATGTGATGCACATGTGTGCGGCTCATAAATAACAGGCTCCAGCAAACGTTTGACCTTTATCTGTGTCTCTCTGTGCAGCGGCTGGGCTGATGCACACATTCAATGCACACGCAGCAACTGACATCACAGGGTTTGGGATCCTGGGTCACGCTCAGAATCTGGCCCGGCAGCAGCGTACAGAGGTGTCCTTCGTCATTCACAACTTGCCGGTTCTCGCCAAGATGGCAGCCGTCAGCAAAGCTTGCGGGAACATGTTTGGCCTTATGCACGGCACCTGCCCAGAGACCTCAGGTATAAGATCCGACCTATGTCGCTCCTTTAAAATTGCTATTTATTTATGTAATGAATTTTATACACCATGATGAAAACGGAATAATGACATAACAATAAATAATAACAAATGGAATTCTAGTTTAATAAAAATCTTATGCATTTTATATATGACAAACAAAAATAATAAGCAATTAAAAAAATCTAATCAATTTATAAAACAATTTAGAAAAAGGAAAATATTCTATTTCTTTTCACATTTTACATTTTATACATGATAAACTGTATAATGAAATAATACATTAAAAATAAACTATCATTTTAATTTCTAATTGAATAAAAAAACTTGTGCACTTTATATGTGCAAAAATAACAAATAACAAATCAATTACACAATTAATGTGAAAAAAGGTAAATTCTTTTTAAAAATGGTTTTTATTTATTTTAAATGAATTTTCCACATTTTATACATGATGAAAACTGTATAAGGAAATAATAAATGAAAAAAAAAATCTAATATTATTTAATTTCTAATTGATTAAAAAAACACGTGCATTTTATATATGAAAAACAAAAATGTAATCTAATCAACTAAGAAATAATATTAAAAAAATTATTGTAGAACAAAACTTGTAATTATAATATATACAGTACCATTCAAAAGTTTGGTGTTGGTAGGAAGCATAAAATAAGTCTTATGCTTCAAAAGGCTGCATTTATTTAATCAAAAATACACTGTAAATATTGTGAAATATTATTGCAATTTAAAATAATTATTTTCTATTTGAATATATTTTAAAATGTTATTTCTGTGATGCAATGCTGAATTTTCAGCATCATTACTCCAGTCTTCAGTGTCGATCATTCTAATATGCTGATTTGCTGCTCAAGAAACATTTCTTATTATCATAATGTGGAAACTTTTAGGATTCTTTTTTTCTTCATGCTATGGCTTTTCTTTTAACTACTTCTAGTTTTATTATGTTTAAAGGGGTCATATGATGCTGCTAAAAAGAACATTATTTTGTGTATTTGGTGTAATGAAATGTGTTTATGCAGTTTAAAGTTAAAAAAACACATTATTTTCCACATACTGTACATTATTGTTTCTCCTCTATGCCCCGCCTTTTTGAAACGCATCATATGACCCCTTTAAGTTAAAATAGGGAAGAATGTTTTCAATGTGTTCTCAAGACATTTGGATCCCACTGTACATGCATTTTATCCCTGTGTTAAGGTGTTCTTAATAAGCCGTTATTACACATTCACTTTATCTTTGCAGAAAACAGCAGTCTGAATCTTAAACACGTTTCTTTTGCTCTTTTCCCTTGTAATATTCTGTAGGGGGTTTGCTGATCTGTCTTCCACGTGAGCAAGCGGCCCGCTTTTGCGCCGAGATCAAATCTCCCAAGTACGGCGAGGGTCACCAGGCGTGGATCATCGGCATCGTAGAGAAAGGCAACCGTACGGCACGCATCATCGACAAACCCCGCATCATCGAAGTCGCACCGCAAGTGGCCACACAGAATGTCAACACCACCCCGGGAGCCACGTCTTAAACCTGACCCCGTGACCCCTGAGTGGCCCGAACGGCTAGCGCACTCGAGCCTCACCTGAAATATATCAGCATAATGATATATAAAACGTCTGCCCACCTTGGCCTTCGGGCAGATTCCTCTACATGGACACGGTTATAAAGCAGAAGAACATTTAACAAAGAAAATTCGATTGCCTTTTTATGTCTATAGTTTTCTGTTACATTAACTGAACATGCACCTGATTGTGAGGCAGCTTCCAAGTAGAACGAATAATTAATAGTATGATTCTTCTCTGATACTGTTGATTACTTTCAGATTTCTTCTGCTCGCACATCACCTGTGGTTTCATACTTAGCCATGGTGTGTTTTAGCCTTTCCTCTTAGTATGCACAGCCCATGTGGTAGTTCACATCGTAATCTTTGTCTGGAAACAATAGTTAATGAAGCTGCAGTGACGAGGAAGAGTCGGGAAAGGATTGCTTTTTTACTTTAGTATTATCCCTCGTATGTCGGATAAAATAACCCTCCCTCACTGTTCGGTGGAAACGTTGGACTGAAGGAATCCAAGGTAATACCTCTCTAATAAATCAAGCTCTCGTATTTTGGGAAATGCACTTCTGCCTTTAGTGGCGGTGCTGATGTTTCTCAAAGAATGTGCTAAACATTGGAGATGCAGTTTCTATTGTATGATATTCACGGTTTCACATGAACATCATTAGTTCTGTTCTGTGGTAGAGCTGTTTTTATATTCTGTACAAAGGTCATACTTTCTCGTGCTCTTGTATTTGCTAATCATTATATATATATGCCTTGAAACCCCTCCAA